GATTCTTGTCGCGGTCGAGTGAGTACTCCTTGGTCGAGTGAACTTGAATCTTTATGGTCGAATGAATGATGGTATCCCTCGAATTCTTATGACTTTAGGCCAATGTCCTTGGGGAGGGTGTCTAGGTCAGGCCTATGACCCTACCCTAGGTACATGTCGTCGTCAGACCCACCGCCATATGGATTGCGGTCTCTCCCCATCCACCGTGTCCCATGCTATGCCGTTGGGGGGCCACCCTTTACCCTGGCAGGGTTGGGGCACTGGTGAGGTCATTCTCTTCTAGATTGGGCTCTCAGGGTGGCCTGATTTTGATCTTGATGGCTACAATTGCAGCTGGCGATCGCCGGCTGACATAGTGGGGCTTGACGCTGTCGGCGGACATGGGGCGAGGAGTTGTCTTGGTAAGGGAAGGAGTGGCCTTTCTCATTCCCTCCTGTGGTGGCTGGAAGCTGTAGACGTGGCACGCTGGCGATCTCAGGGCAAAGGATGCCCGGGCGGATGCCAGGGATGGCGGGCTACACAGGTTGGCTCTTCGGCGAGCAACATGGTGGATGGCGTTGGCGGTGTGCTTCATCCATGTGGGTGACGAGGTGCGCTGTGGTGGGTGATCCCAGTGAAGCTGTCACTGTCGATGGCCGCAAAGCCATGATCTGGATCTGGTGCTCATGGTTATGTTGTGGTGGGATCCCCAACGTGGAGGGGCATGTGGCTTGCTCGCGTGATATGGTGGGCGTGGGGTCTTGCAAAAGCTTCACGCCTCAGCATCGACGGTGGAATGCCCGTGGGTGTTGTAGTCCTCTTGGGACGTCGCCTTCATTCGCACCTTTTCCTACCGACAATCGAGGCGGAAGCCTCTATCTACCTCGGTTGACATGGCGCTGACGCTTGTCATCATGACCCTCTTGGGGGGGGGGGGCATCGACAATGAGTGGGGATGTTCCTTGGGCGTGACGACGGGTCTCTTGTGCTTCTTTTGGGCGGCTCATTGAAGGCGTTTAGTAGTGCACCCTAGTGCATTTTTAGCGCTCCCTGCTAGTTTTGCCGTGTTTTCTTTTGATTGACTTATGAGAATTTCCTCAATATCTTTTGTCATTTTGTCATTTAGCTTTACTAGCAAAAGAGCCTGTGTGTCGCAACACGAGAAAATAAATACCACATGACTAATCTAATAACCATGACTTAAGACCCCCAATAGGTTTACGTCCTTTATTTCAGCACATGACACTTCATCTGTGTTTTCACTTAACTTCCTTCCCACCCTCGTCGACAGCGGCCATAGTGCTCCAACCATAACACGTTTGAATATGATCAATCTTAAGTCATCTTTCTTTTGTCATAAGATGAGTGATCTGTTTTTTCAGCGCGTGGTTTTGATGAGGCGTGCATGTGTGATTGTAAATAGTTTCTTTTGACTCCAATCTGGTTTTGTTGTGTTCATTTCCAACCCGGATGGGCACCAGTATGAAAAAAAGATAGATCATGTGCCATTTATTGATATTGCACCCATTTTAATAATAGTTATCAGGTAAAATAACATCATATTCAGATACTGCACATGCTTCTCATCAAAATACATACATATAACATGCTAATTTAGAGTTACGGTTTAAAAATATATGAATATTTTTTAAAATTGAAAGTCTGACTTAAAACTGGAATGCAGGTTGATTAACAGAAACATCAGGGGGTTTATGCAAAAGCAAAAATCTGACTTAAAAACAGATTGTGGGTTGATTAGCAGAAACAAGAGGCGGTTTTCTACAAAAATGAAAATCTGTCTAAAAACTGGACTGCAGGTTGATTCTCGAAAAGACATAGATTAGTATAAAGCGAAGCACAAGCCCGTTTCAGCAGGCTAACCTCATGTACAAAAAGCATGTCCATACACATAATAATCTAACTAAAGACTAATACATTAGCCGTCATGTTTGGCTTACTAATCCTCTGAAATACCCATATATTGTATCTCCAACTACATTCTTTTTTTTTTTGCGGGAAATATCTCCTACAATAAATAGCTATGGACTCCGCTAAAAGAAAAGAGGCACGAGACAGGTAACTTGTGCTTGGCTATGTGCATGTACGTGGATGCACCACCGGCCTGACAGAGATGGTTGGATCAAACGCTAGCATCTGCAGCAGGGAAAAGCATTTACCGGAACCACCCTCACCTCTGCATGATGTGCATTCTCGATTTACCGGAACCACCCTCACCTCTGCATGATGTGCATTCTCGATTTACCGATCCTTCGTCGTTGTCCATCAGTTGGCCGTGTGTTTGTTCTCCACGTGAAAGAGGCAGGGGACCTTCCCCAGCTACTCTCCCGAATGATCACCATCGACCTATTCCCGTTTCTGAAAGATACGCACCAGCTGTATATTCGTTACCTGGCCGATTTTCCTAGTTCCTACCATACAATTAACTGGAGTTTTATTGACCCTACCAAAAAAGGGAGTTTTATTGACCCTTCCCTTAAAAGAAAGAGTTTTAGGGATTTGAGAGTTCTATGTGTGAAAAAGCGAAAATTTCTTTTGAAGGCCGAGCTCCATGAAGGCCTTCATTTGCAATTTTCAACGCTAATATTTCTACATTTTAATTTTTTTTGAAAAAAATACAGATATGCATGCAGGCATAATGTATATATTTGTAAATCTACAGGACGAAATATGTTGAATGAAGGTTGTGCAAAAATATAAAAAAACTGAGGCTTTTTAGCACATGATACTATTCATCCTCAAAGTCTACGAATTTTATTTTTTTTGTAAAGGTCGCATTTTCAAGGTATTTCATCCTGAATTTTCACGCACATATACATTTCATCCTTGTATACTTGCATATTTTTTTTAGATTTTTTTCTGAAACCAAAAGGTTTGAATTTTTATTTTTAAAAAAATTTCAGGCTCCATGGAGCCTGGTCACCAAAACGCACCACTAAAGAAAAAGGGGGCTCCCAAGATAGAGGCCAAGAGTAAGTGGGGTTGAAGAACCAAATCCGACAAAAAACGAATCTTGCATGTAAAAAAGGTATACTTTTTTGCGGGTAAAAAAGGCACTTTCACTGCGAAAGTCCCCATCTCAGCTCGAGCTCATATGAGCTCGGCATGAACAGTAAAATTTGACAAAATTCTGAATTTTTTTGTGACAAATGTTTCCAGTGCTTGCAAAGTTTCATCTTCAAATGCCATTCGTGGAAGTCGTGGAAAAATAAATCAGCACTCCAAAATGTTTTTGAAAATAGCATTTCGGAACATCAATTTTGTTGTTTTTGTCATAACTTCCATGAATGTCTCCATGATGAAACTTCACATATAATCAAAAAAAATTGTCAGTGTTTCACATAAAAAAAATCACATTTTTTGAATTTTTTTTGGATTTTACTATGTTGAATGGCGAATTAAAATCAGATGATGGCTCAATGAGGAATTCTCCATGTTGGCCTGATCTTGGTGTGTCAACGACCAAACTGTTT